ACCCACAATCTGGTGTGATTTCTCCCATGAGGAAATTGGAAGATATTCCATCTACAAAAGAAACAAACAACTTGTGAGGTCAACATGCTCATAACATAGAACTGCTTGAAATTTATAAACGACCGTTGCAATGCAAAGACTAGGTGGAGAAAAGCTAAGTACACCCAATTAACGCATACTATATAATCAGAAGAAAGACGGGGGAGATCATGCTGAAGATAATGGGAGGAAAGGAAAAGAAAAGAACGTCCATTGTGTATTTGAAATAGAACCTACTAGTGGGCTATTTGGGATCCATTTACTATTTAAGCACATGCAGCCAATCCATCAATACTCAGGTTCAAAGTGAAGTGTGACATGAAGTTCTGTTCCTAAACATATCAGCACCCAGAAAAGTTCATCATTCTTTCTTCGTACTCTAAGGTAGACCATCTTCTCAGCTAGAGCATGAACTAGGCAACATCAAATGATATCCATCCAATAATGCATACTGATAAGATAGTCATTATCTCACATCATCATTTCGAGAACCTTAATAGAGATAAGATCAACAAGATAGTTCCCACAGAGCATCACATACCCCCAGAGACACCAACAACTATTGACTTGATTCTATCCATTCCATTGTACTTTCTTTTAATACGAAAAGCACTAAGACTCGGTCCTTCAGCTAGCCCCATAGAGGTCTCAAGTGAAAATATGTTTATGCGACCATGTTCTAGCATTAGGTGTGTGTTTGGTACGAAGGAAAATGTTTTCATGGAAAATGAGTGGTTTTATCACTTATTTTCCCTTGTTTGGTTGGTGATTGAAAAATGTTTTTCGTAAAATATTTTTTATTGTTTGGTTAGAGAGTAGAAAATATTTTTTATGCTACTCTCTTCACCCCTTCCCCCAAGTCTCCATGTTTCCTTTGCTCCCCACCCCCACAAATACCCAACGTTTTCCGGACTCTGTTTTCTTCAAGAATTTAATTATTCTTACAAAACTTCACACAAACCCAAAGGAACTAATGTGATGTTTTATTTTTTTAGGTAAAAAAACGTTGAAATTTGTGCTCCATAACTAAAAAGAAAATACTCTTTTTTTGGTTGAAAAAAAAAAGTACTCTTTCTACAACATGAAAATAAAGTACCCATTTTATTGAAATGAAAGAAAATACTTTTTCTACATCATGAAAACAAAGTACCCATTTTGTTGAAATGAAATAAAATACTTTTTCTACGTCATGAAAAAAAAATACTATTTTTGTTGAAATGAAATAAAATACTTTTTCTACGTCATGAAAAAAAAATACTATTTTTGTTGAAATGAAAGAAAATACTTTTTACTACGTCATTTTGTTAAAATGAAAGAAAATACTTTTTCTACATCATGAAAAGAAAAAATATTTTTTTTGTTAAAATGAAAAAATACATTTTTATATCATGAAAAGAAAATACTCATTTGTTGAAAAAGTACTCTATCTATAACATGAAAAGAAAGTATTATTAATAATATTTCTATTTCGGATTGGGGCAGGGTTGGGTGGGAGGAAAGGGTGGG